GTCTCAATCTCGGTTAGTTCGATTCAATCTATGGTTTTTGGTCAATTATGTCCAGCACAGGTAAGTGCAAATACAAGACATCCAATCTGAAAAAGGATTAGTGGAGATGGTCTCCATAGGGTAGCTGTGGTCACCTGCCATGAATTTATGACACGTACGTGTACATGAGCAACTATCCAACGCATAAGACTGTTGTATAAATTCAGGAGGAGTAGCCAGAAAAAAATACAGCTCTCTCACGCGTGAGATATTTATACATTTACACGTGTTGTGAATCAGTGATAGTCCATGGGCCGTCCCCTGCTGAACTGTATTCCCAAATCCTGTTGGTTGTGACCATGTACGTGTTAATATTGCATTGCAACCAAAATTAATTAGACCTGTGAAGCACTTTTGCCGTCTCAAACACGGCTGTCCGAAGGGGTGTGTTGGTGGTAATTTTGGCAGATCGAGCTGGTGTGTTTTCTGTTTTCAAAACAAAGCCGCGCCGTTGCCCAAATAATATGTTCCAAGTGTGTGATTTTTTTTATTATTTAAGCAACATGCAATTATGATTATTTGGCTATAGAATTATCTTTGATGAGTTGTTCTTTTAATTGTACTAGCTAATTATGTAATATTATTTTATTGTCTCAAAATTCTAAAAATTCAAGCACCTCAAATTAATACAGCAACTTCCAATAATAAAACTCACAGGTTGGGCCTGCAGCCCGGCTCCTCTCTACAGTCGTCTACTGCGTTTCCTGTCGTGGCCGATCCATCCCAATCTCCTATCTAGACGTAGGACAAGCGAGCAGCTCCAGTGTAAAAAAGGCGAACCGTGAGAAGAGAACGAAAGAGCAAGGTTCGCTTTATATACTGCAGGCATCCAACTCTGGGGAACGCTTCTTTGGTTCGAACTTCTGACTTGTGCGAACCGTGGCAATAAGCGCGTGTTGAGTTTCACCCCAAAATCTCTTAAAAAGTGCTACAGTACCTGTCACATCGAATGTTTACGGCATGTGTATGGAGCATTAAATGTAGACGAAAAAAAACTAATTGCACAGTTTGGTGAGAAATTACGAGACGAACGTTTTGAGTCTAATTAGTCCATGTTTGAACACTAATTGCCAAAAAAACGAATATGCTACAGTAACCCTAAATTCAATTTTCTGGAACTAAACACGCCGTAAACAATGCATGGAAATAAACGAGGAGAGCAAGGGACATGGTCACTCTCTGTCTACACAGTGCAAGCAATTGTTTATTTCAACCTGACACCCATCTAACCGAACTCCACACAACAGGAAGCGAATAATGAGAAACATCCGAATTTTTTCTTTTTTAGGCTTTTTTTTAGAATTTTTTTCACATATATACTCTGGAGGTTATGCTTTCAAAATCCGGACCGTTACCCTTAGCTCGTCGCCATCGTTGGTGGAGCTTACACGTCTCGGCGCCATAGATTTTGGCGCCTAGGTTTTGGGCTCAGCGTAGACGTGGCGGTGACTTGGCATGCACCTTGACGCCGTAGATCTTCAGCCTGTTCGGGAGGCCATATCGTATCGTGGATTATTTACTGCTGGCTGGTTTGGTGTGAGAGAAAACACTGCTGGCGCATTGAAATTTACGATCTTATGTATGGGCAGTCGCTAGCCCATAGATCTTGGCGCTTGGCGCCAAGCCCTATCTACGTATGGGCCCTCCTTCCTTTCTCTCTTCTCTCTCTACCGTTTCCGAGCAGGCGCCTCCGCGACTGCCGCTGCCGTGCGCGCCATTGCCATGACCGCCTGTATGAATGGACGTGATGATGAGCTCCTAGAAGCTCCTGAGGCCGGCCCTAACATGGTAATTGAGAATGGTAGGGTATTCAAGGACCTTCCTGCATTGAAGAGGTGGTTGCAGACGTTTACAGTGATACGAAAGAGACCTTACAAGGTCTTGCATTCATATGCGGAGCGCCGTTACACAGTTGTATGTGACAAGGAACGCTGCCCATGGAGGGTTTGTGCAAGGAAGCAAAAGGTCATCAAAAAGTGAAAGGTCACAAAAGTTATTGGGCCACATAATTGTGCTGACCATGTGCTGACACTGAAGCATCGGCAGTTGACATCTATCCTCATTGCCAAGCGTTTGATGGGAATATTGCAGGGAGAACCCAACATGAAGGTTAGGACAATTATCAGGACCGTTGAGGCGTTGTATAGAGGTTATGTGATAACTTATGGTAAAGCTTGGAGGGCTAAGCAGCGAGCGTGGAAGATGATATATGGGGACTGGGAGGCTAGGTATGAGCAGCTGCCAGTACTTTTCAATGCAATCAAAGCGATGAATGCATGCATTATGAGTATATCCCAAAACCAAAAGCATGGAATGATGGGAGGCAGATATTCTTTCGTGCTTTCTAGTGCTTCCCTCAGTGTGTCGAGGCCTTTAGGCACTATCGTCCTGTCTTCTCCATTGATGATACGTTCTTGATTGGCAAATATCAGGGCACACTTCTTATAGCCATATCCTGTGACGCGAACAACAAGTTGATTCCTTTGGCATTTGCTTTGGTTGAGAAGGAGAACAATGATAGTTGGGGATGGTTCTTGAGGCTAGTCCGGATACATGTGGTTGGGCCTGGCAGGGAGGTTGGTGTCATATCTGATAGGCACCAGAGCATACTTAATGTCATGCGAGAGCAGATAGAGGGGTATGCACCTTTGCACCATCGTTGGTGTACTCGTCACCTTGCCGAGAATCTATTCCGGAAGGATGGTGTGAAGGATAACTTTGATCTATTCCAGGAGGCAGCTTGAGGACAAGTACTTTCAAAAAAAGTTGGAGCAGGTCAGAACCGCATCAAATGCAGAAGGTAGACAATGGCTCATAGGTTTGATGAGGGATTTGGAGAAATGGACAAGAGCTCACGATGTCGGTGGATGGAGGTACGAGTTTCAGTACAGCAACATGGCGGAGTCATTCAATAAGTTGCTATTGGAGATACGTGGTATACCCATGAATGTAATCGTTCAATTCACCTTCTACAAGCTTGTTGCCTGGTTCAACGATAGACACACTCATGCATTAAAGTTGCAGAGTGATGGAGAGATATGGGCTCCGAAATCAAAGGCACACCTAGAGAAGGCAAATGAAAGGGCTGGCACACATGAGGTTACATGTTTTGACCACGCCATAGGGACTTATCAGGTCGAGCATAGGGGTGATACAACGTCTGACGGTGAGGTCTGAGAGTCGAGGATGTATGTGGTAATCCTTCAAGATTTCACTTGCACTTGTGGTAAACCAAGGCAGTACTACTTTCTATGTTCTTATTTGGTGGCAGCACACTACACCACAGCACCGCTTCACCGTCAGACATCTGACGCGAAAAATTATATTTGGCGATGGATGTTCTGATGCTAAAGAAAACTCAGAGACCATCTAACGCTAAATCCTCATTTAGCGATTTAGTGTCTGTCGCTATAGGTATTCATATTTAGCGTTGAACCGTCTGTCGCTAAAGCCAAGTGTACCGTCAATCTGTCTGTCGCTAAAGAAAATGGCCCCCACCCACTGTGACAAACCCTAGGTCCTTTCCCAAATCCAAAACGCAGCAGCCGCCGCCTCTTCTTTCATCTCCCGCAAGCCGCCTCTAGCTTTTTCCTCTTCCGTCGTGCTCCACTCTCTCTCCGGTCTCTCCCTCCTGATTCCAATCCGCCCCATCCCACCCCATGCGACTATGGTGGAGCTCCGTTCTTCCTGGGGCTCGGCGGATCTAGTCCTCGGAGCAGCGGATCCGGCAGCGCGGGTGTCCTTAAGGCAGCAGCTCCTTCGTTATCGATGAGTTATATAACTTTGTTGTTGCCAACTATTCCATTTGAAATTATTTTCTACCCCAAAATTCTATTTGAGGTAGTCATATTTTGAAATTTAAATTTCGAATGGTTCAAACAAACTCATATAGGGAAATGTCCATAACCAAAGTTGGATATATCGATTAGTACTATATCTTTGTAGTTGACAACTTTTTCATTTAAAATCATTTATGTTACTAAATTTGCATTTTAGAATAAAAATATATTTTAGACAACAAAAATAAAAAAAATGAAAAGGGCTGAAACAACTTCCCAACCTAGGCCACATTTGGCCTGACCCTGCATCTCCCCCACGCATTACCACCTGGGCTTATTTGGCCCAGTCAGCCGCACGGTCCTGTAGCCGTCCGATCAGATCAATCGGCTCACGTCCCTCCTTCGTCCTTCAAACTGGTGCCCGGTTGCCTTCCCCGAACCCTAACTTCTTTCTTCCTCTCTTTTTTGCTTCTTTCGTTCAAACACAGCGGCGGCGACCACCACCGTGCCCTCCTGCCATGTGGCTGCGCCTCTCCTCCCTCCCTCTCCTCCGCAACTGCCGTCGTCCGCACCCCATGGAGAGATGTGGAAAGGAGCGACGGCGGCGTGGTCCATGGCATCGACGTCGAGTGCCGCCCTGACCGAGGCCGCGCCGCCGCCGCCCCGTCGAGGCGTCTTCCACAGCGAGCCGCGTGCGTCGGACCGGGCGGCGGCGGCTCGCCGAGTCTAGGTCATCACCGACACCGCTGCTCCCAGGAGCCCCCCTCTCTCTCGTCTCTCGTTGCCCATGTGCAGCTACTAGCAGACGGCGGCTTCTCCGGCGGTGTTCCTGCAACCAGATCCGGTGAGAAGCTGTTCCGAGGTGTTCCTGCAACCATATCCGGTGAGAAGCTGTTCCGAATTGTGATTCTTTTCGTTGATTTACAAGGTGTACTTATTACTTAGCATGTATAGCTCTTTGAAATGCTAGACCGTGTTCCTGCTTGTACGCTTAACATGCACAGTATGAATGAAGCAACCAATCTAGAATGTTGGATCTTTGGATTTATTATCCTGAACCCTGGGCCACTAGCTGCTACGAATTGATGCCACCATATGGGTTGGGAATTTGTTGAGCTATTCATTTGCCCCTCAAATAGAAGGGGAAATTTGAGAGCGCTTGTTGAGCTCTGCGATTGCCAAATGGTGAAGTCAACACTTTTTCTGAGTATAAAGGCTAGATACTTGCAGACATATCCTACTTTCCAGGGCAATGGATTATTGAAAACATCCTTGGTGAAATCTGTTGACTTTGGCTACCTCATCAACTTGAAATTCTGTAAACCATTTCTCTTGCTGCTCCTATGCCAAAAACAATAATATGGTTGCCATTGAAAAGATGCGATGCATGATCATTGGATATAAGAGGGATGCTAGTTCTACTTTGTAGATGAAGTATGATGTAAGATTTCACATTACACTTTAGTTGCTAGGAACAAACATTACTCTTTACATCTGTTGTGCTCTGTCCAGAATACAGTTTGTTTGTATATCTTCCTTGGATGGTTGGTGCTTGGTGCACAATGTAATCATTTATTAGGATAAAAATAACCTCTGACAGTTGCAGATGTTGGACTGCAGAAAATGGCAAACAAGACAGCTACAACTAAGAAGGCTGCAATTCGGGCTTCAAAACTTTTCATATTGGGTGTGATTTTGCAAGGTTATACTTATCGCTAGTTCTTGGCCAAGTAGCTCTCATCGACCCATTTTGTGGGATTCCTATCAGGTTGGAGTTTATCCTTCTGTTCTTTTGTACTTGTAGGAGGATACATTCATGGACGACACAAACTAACTTATGGTGTCGATTTGGATCATATTCGATAGCTAGGTGTGCTGCAGGTGATAAATAAAACAAGCCTATTTATCTAAGTTGGTGTATTCCATTTCTTTTTTATTCATGTAATGTTTGAAATTTTGATTTCTTATTGCTATCATGCTTCTTGTACTTGTAGAGGATAGCTATTGGATACTTTGTAGCAGCAATGTCAGAGATTTGGCTTGTCAACAATAATTTGGTCGATTCAACTGTATCATTTGTGAAGAAATACTTCATGGAGTGGTTAGTCAATATGGGCAGCATTTTAATTTGGAGAAAGATTGTTTCTATGTTTTTATTCTTTAAAAAATCCTTATTCACCATTTCGGTAATGTACACTTGAACTTCTGGCCTAGTTCTTCACTATGATTATTTCCCTTGGTTCAATAAAGTGAACTCTGCCTTCAAGTTATATTTTCTGTAACTCAGAACAACCTGTCTAGTTATCTGTTAGCAACGCTATCCTTTATTTATGCAAGCTTTGAAATTCTGGACTATGGCAGAGAGTCTTGCACATGAAGTCTGCAACTCCACATCAACTTCTTTTGGAAGGCTGAAAATCAAGCAGCCAAACAGTAGTCTGGACCTTTCGGTAGACTTCTTTTTTTCTCGAACACGCAGGAGAGTTACGTATCATTGTATTAATAGAAGAAAAAAGAGTCATACATAGACCCAAACCCACACACACACCCACTAGTACATGGAAACTAAATCACCGGTTAAAACAAAAGACGACCCAACAGCTACAGCGGTCCTTTAGACTGCTCCTCCGGCAGTGAGCAGGGAGATCCCCTTAGCTCCTGCCAGGCTCCACCAATGGGCTTCTTAGTGTTCCTTAGCTAGCAAGCTAGTATTTCAGGCTTATCATGCAACTATGTCAGCGCAGTAGGTGTAGCTCACTAGAATTGATATACATACATGATTAGACCGGTTAAGTTTGGTATTTGTATGAGGCAATAGGTGAAATATTTGTTTTTATTATTTTCATTTTATAAAATAGGGGGGAACCCTTATTTAATCTTAGATTAACAAATTTTCTTCCAGGACTAATTGTTGTTGCATGCATGACTTGTTTCAATTGGTGGACGAAACATGATCCTGATTGAGACTAGTGAACTGCAATGTAGGTTGTGAGAGAGCATGATCCTACTGGAAGAGACGTTGAACTGTTTCGCAGGCACTTTTATTCCAGGGGGAATGGTCCGGCTGTAAAAGGTTCCAAAGGTGCAGAGCTGGCCGACGGGTTTGTTATCAAGGACGGGGAGTACAAGCTGGTGAAGGGAAGATTCAGCTCCTTCTTTGCCACCAACCTCGATTCTGTCCTCAAAACTTCAGGGATCAAGAACTTGGTTGTAACTGGTAAGAACTGATCGATGCCTGCAAATCTACCTATATACAGATGTAAAAGTTCTTTTCTGTCTACTAGTTACTCCATCCACGCTCTTTCATGTTTGCATGCCTTGTTTTTATTTCGGGGGAGGGAATCAAAGGGAGATATATCTCTCAGAATAGGAATTAGTACCATGTTGACATATTAAGGGAGAAATAGAAGTTGGATAATGCCATATATACAGCCGTGAGGACATTTCGACGTGATGAGCTAACTCATGAGCTATCCTATTCTGAAAGCCATTACGTTTTTTTTTGAGGTTTCAATGCTAGTCTCCATTGTCCCATTCAGAACAAGCTGCATGCCTGCATGGTCATCTTAAACTGAACTTGTTAATTTTGTTGGGGTTGTCGGAATTATTTGAGTTCATTTTGTTCAGCACTGCAACTTGTTAATCATCATCATTATTTTCTGGTTAACAGAGTTCAATACCACATGGCATCATTATTCAGTTATTTTATTTATGTTTGTTTTTCAGGGGTCCAAACACCAAATTGCATCAGGCAGACTGTCTTCGATGCTGTCGCACTGGACTATGAGAAAGTTACGGTTATTACTGATGCTACAGCTGCTGCTAATCTAGAAATACATTTGGGTGAGTAACCATGCAAAGTGTTACACTCCGTAGCTTATTAATTGGCTACTTTAACTGTCATGGCTGTCACACCAGAGAAATGAAAGAGTATACCGTTTGGTCACTCTTTAATCTGTTCGAATGTGATTGCTGGTGACTGAACTAAGGCATCTCTCCTATGTGCTACTCAGCAAACATCAGGGATATGAAGAACATTGGAGTTGAAACACCAACCCTGGAAGAATGGCGTCGCTAGATTTGCTGGTACTTCAGTCTCAGCACCAAAAAGACATCACCGAGCCCACCAGATACTACTCACATCTCTTCTGGGAAAAAATATTCTTGGTTTTCTTCAATCTGATTGTGTGTAACAGTATTGCTGCCCAGATACTGTGCATCCTCTCATAAGTTGTAATAATCCCTAGCTCAGACAAATTCACGGTGTGCGGTAAATATTGTGATGTTACCTATGATTTGTCTAAAACAGAGGAAATCAAATTGTTTGGTATTATTAATCAGACTGAAGGAGACCTGAGGCACTCCATCAAGTTACAAATACTTGTGTAGTGACATTTGTATTATTGTGGACAATTGTTGATGGATTAATTTTTATTTTTTGAACCATATAAAATTGTCTCGTTGGACTGTCTGTCGCTAAAACCATATGTACCATCGCACGGTCTGGCGCTAAAAAGTAGCAATGGACTATCTATCGTTAAAAAGTAGCAATGGACTATTTGTCGCTATAAATATTCAGGGCAGCAGACTGTCTGTCGCTAAAAGTAATGTCTGACGCTAAAGATTTTTAGCAACAGGATTTACAACGTCTGCAGAAGTCTGTCGCTATAAGTTTTTAGCATCAGATTGTCTGTCGTTGTAGCCGCTTTTAGCGTCAGATCATCCATCGCTAATCTTGGTGTTGTGGTGTAGTGGTAGGTAGGCATCGCAACTTTAATATTGAGAGCTAGATACCTCACGAGTTCAGTGTCGACACGCTTGTGCATACATAGAGCCCCGCTTCGTGCCTTTCTGGGACCCTAGAGAGTGGCCTCCATATGATAAGCTAAAGTACATTATGGATCTAGTTTACCATTAAAACAAGCATGGATCAAGGAAAAGGACGAGGCACAGGATGATTATGGATCGGATACTCGGAAGAACGAGACGTGGGAGAGGAACTCCATTTCTTACTGACCCCGAGCAGTACGAGTGCGGCAAGTGCGGTAGACTGGGCCACAATTCACGCACTTATCATTGGCAGATTAGTGATGTGCGACTATTGATTGTTTTTATTATTTCATATTTGACGTATTTATTCAATTAATTATGCATGTCTCAATTTATGCTTATAATTGTGTCAATTACTTGTACATTTCTAAGTTTATGTTTTATTGTATATTGAATTTCTATTTCATTGACTTTTTTTGTAGGATGGCGTAATTCCACCTGCTCGACCCGACGTACGAGGAGACCCACCGATGACGTCTCATAGCGGAGGGGCAGGTAATAATCTATACGTCTTGTTCAAATTTTTGTGAGCGTACATGTGTTCGTGAAGTAACGGGGGACTATGTTTTATTCCATGTAGGACCTTCCGTTCCTTAATCCAAGAACCCACAATGGGTTCTTAGACATGCAGTACGACAACAGATACACTACTTTTCTGCAAAGAGCTGGCCTAGATGTTATCTCTTTTTAGGTTCATCGTGGGTTGCCCAAGTTCAACTCAGCGACCATAACTATGTTGGTTGACATGTATTATCTTCAATCATTGCCTATATTTATGGCCATTTGTTCATGCGCTTGTCTTTTTGACATGTAATCTTGCTTTGTCTAAAATGTAGGTGGTGGCCGGAGACTCACAGCTTTCACTTGCCTTTCAGAGAGATGACAGTCACGCTCTAGGACTGTTAGAAGATGCTAGGTCTGAGGATTCACGGTAACGCAGTGACTGGACAGTGCAGGTCAGATGGTTGGAGAGCATGAGTAGAGGCCTTCCTTGGGCATGAGGTTAGCGAGCAAGGGGCTCGTAGTTCTAAAGTTCTAATCTCCTAGCTCTGGCAAGAGTTCGCACAGTGCCCCGAGGAGGTAGATGAGGAGACAGTTGGGTACTACTATTAGGCGTGGATCCTACACCTGTTTGCCTGCGTTCTCTTCCCCGACGCCACGGGTGACACTACGTTGTGGATGTGGGTCCACTGCCTCACTGACTGGGACCAGGCGAGTCAGTACAGCTGGGGCTCTGCAGTGTTGGGTTTTCTTTACCGGCAGCTTTGCGAGACGTGTCGTTAGACTTTGTCCTCATTGTCACTTGGTGGATGCGTGTACCTGCTCCAGTTGTGGATGTGGGCTCATCTACCAGTTGGCCGTCCCGAGGTTCTGGCTAGTCGTGAGTGGTTTCTAGGTCAGCCTCCACATCAGCAGCCGACGTGGACGTACCTTTGGGACCAGGTTAGGGTTCCACACACGAGGTTAGAGCGGGCGTACATTGAATTCACGAACGAGCTAGACACGCTCACGGCGTCTAGTGTAGGTAAATTTTATTTCCCATGCTGGTTTGAAATGGTTTAGTATAGCATCTAACATCTTATTTGGACATGTTACAGGTGTCGTGGGAGCCGTACGATGGAGAGGGGGCACTTCCTTTTTAGTTGAGCAACATGTATGGGTGCGACGACGACTTCTACAGGATGAGATGCCCTCTAATCTGTTTCTATGCTGTCGAGTTCCACCTGTCAGGTAGAGTTGCACGCTAATTTGGAGTGAGATAGCTTTGGCCAACGGCTCCGTTCTCGACTGGCGTTGACTTACACAAGTAAGTATTTTGCTATTTCAATTGTCTCGTGATGGTCCATTTCCATTAATTCCTATATAAGATAAAGTAATGATGACATACGCATGTACATGGATTGAGATGAATGTGCTTGTATGGGCATTTCTTGTTCTCATTATTATGGCAAGTTATAGGACTATGGGTTCAACCCATGTCATGATCTATTTTCTCTTCTTTCTTTGGAACCCACGTGGTAACATTTTTCATAGTGAAGCTTACATATGATGATACTGTTACGTATGATTTCTTCGATCACTCTGTACTTTTCTTGAGAAGCTTACATCAAATAGTCACGTCATATAGCTTAGGCGCCATCGTTTTACATCATCAATTTCATATATGCCAGAAACTAACATCTTACGTGACGTGCAGGTTGGATCGTCAGAAGAATAGGAAGATTTTTTATTAGGAGAAGCACCACCAGTACTACATTGAACAATGGGAGATGTTGCACGACAACATGGACGAGAACAATGAGCCGCACACGAACCATGAGTACATGCGCTACCAAGCTTGGTACCAACGTGCGACACGTTGCAAGCTGAGGCTACAATGGACAGAAGATGACTACGCCGACATCGAGTCCTCCGACGATGAAGACACGATGTATGACCAAACTACTCATGTAGGAAGGCAGGTGGAGGCAGGACCAATCTTGGACAGAGTGGTAAGTCAATTGCTTTATTTTTCTATGTTAAGTTGCATACCAATACATTCTGCGTTTGAGGTCTCTATTTTAGTTAGTGGCACCTTCGAGTCGTAGCATCCTTATAATTTAGTACAACAGATGGAGTTGAGGAACTGGTTAGGAATTAACTAGTACTCCGTACTAGATTAGTAGCATCCTCATTTTTCAATATCCACCACAATCTTACTGTGAACTTTGTTGTAGGGCAATACCCTCAAATGCTCAGTTGAAGATATTGAGCGCTTTCGTCCGAGAGTCAGGGACGACGACATGCGTAGCTTCCTAGACGTAAGATTCAAAAATATTCTTTGAAATATATTATTAATACGTTAAATTCTTTCAGTTAACATTATTTTGTACAACAGAGACTATCACGTCGACTACGCCGTGCGGCTGCTCGTTGTGGTTGCAGGACAGCCATGATGTAAGACGTGTACGTTCCTTTCGCAGGCAGAGAAGGCTTAGGTTCGTCTAGCCAAGCACCTACAAGGTCCATAGGCATTGCGTATGAGGACGACGACGAGGTGGACCAGAGGCACGAGGAGCTTGGCCCGTCTCAGCTCTAGGACGCTCCCTCGACTCAGGCTACATAGCCTTCAGGCACTAGGCGACGTCGTCCACCTGACCCTTACACTTCAGGCACCGACGCTCTTGGTCACAAGGGTAAGTCTAAGGCTAGGAGGCAGTGAGGGTTTGTGGTAGATGTTATTATGTAGTATTATGGACTTTGTGGACTTTCATTATAAACTATTGTGGACTGTATGGACTATTATTATCGAATATGAACTACTATGGACTATAATTATGGACTGTGTGGACTATTAATATGCTCATGTATATGGTTTCAAATGAATGTGGCATATATTTGTATGTTTGTACATGTTGTATTGAGGTTAAATATTCATCTCATATTTGTGTATGGATGGCATCAAAAAATAGAGGAAATCATGGCGAAATTTTCTGCCTAAAGTACGTATTAATCAGCGGCATTAGTTTTTCTGGTTCAAAATATTGATTGATGTCTAAAATCGAATAGGCTTTTCAGTCATGGAATCTAGGGGAAATAGCCTTTATAGTGATTTGTTATGCCACCATCGAATAGACTTTTCAGTGTCCTTCGAAATAGTGATTGAAGTCTGAAATCGAATAGGCTTTTTAGTCATGGAATCTAGGCTCTCCAGTGTCCTACGATGTAGGCTTTTCAGTGATTATGAGTAGACTTTCCAGGAGCATTTACAGCACAATACAACGACTAGCAAACCTGCATCCGCTTATATATATGTGTTCTAGGATGCATTGCTAACCAAAAGAAAAACCAAACTAGTATTTGGTTTTGTTGGAGTAGGAATGTCTGGAGAGTCATCTAGAGGAAAGGGTTTCGAGAGTGGGAGAGAAAAGGGGGGACGATGGGAACTCCTATTGTATGGGAGGGGTCTCTTGGGCCTGATTTCTTTGAGGAACCAGTGTATCGGTTTTCCCCTGAGAGCAAGAGTGATTTCACTAAAGAGTGCCCTCTCAGATGATACGATAACAGGAAGAAAGATTGACCAAAATGCATGCATGGTGAGGACTGCTTAGTGCAGATGTTCACTGAGGGGATCGACGGAGGTCATCGCTTCTTCAAATGTCCACGAGCATGGGTAATTCCTATTATATTTTGTTTGTTAAATATGTTTCTCGAATATCCTTACAACTCACAGGACATACTTATTGTAGTCTTTCGAGTCCGAAGAAA